AGATACCTCTTCCAAGGAGTGGAAAAGAGATAGGGTTTGGACCTGGGCCTTGTGACTCCAAAGTTCTTGATGCTTCTAGGCTAGCCTTCCCAGGAAGCTGGACCTAAAGGAGCTAGTACGAAGCAAGAGGAGAGAAGGGACTGTTACAGGCTGAACTATGCTCCTACCCACCCCAACATTCACACGTTGAAGTCCTAACTATCCTTCAGATGTTATTCTTAACATCAGAACCTGACTGTATTTGGAGATGGGGCCTTTAAAGAAAGCATCAAGTTAAAATGAGGCCATTAGGATGGGCCATAATCCAGGATGACTGGTATCCTACTGGCCACAGACAGGCTCAGTGGGATGACCATGTGAAGAGACACAGAGATGGCACCTATGAGCCAAGGAAAGAGGCTTGTCAACTCTGAAGAAGAAACGGACTCTGCCAATCTTGATTTCAGACTTCTGGCCTGTAGACCTGTGAGAAAATTTCTGCTGAAACCCCCATTCTGTGGTCCTTTGTGATGACAGCCAAAGCAACTAATATGGGCACTGAGGAGAGCCTGTCCTGCATCCCCATGGAGGTTAGTCATTTAGTATCAATGAATTATAAAGAGTGTGACATGTCAGTGGAGGGGAGCTAAGAGTTCATTCTTTTCAAGGGTGTCTGGAGTCTCTCCAGAGGAGGAGTGACCCCAGCAGATTTTGGAGATTTGAGCGGAAAGGTGAGGGGACAGAGGGAATTTTCCAAGAAAACACAAGGTGAAAGACTCCCACTCAAGTTAGCTGCTGAGCTGAGGGCGAGGGGAGGAGGAGGAGGCTGGGAACGTGCGCAGCTGCAGCTGGACCCAGGGCACCTCGGTGCGGTTCTCAGGAGCAAAAACTGCATCCTTTGGCATGGGGGCTGCTGAAGGGTGTTTAAAGTAGAGGAACCAGTGTATCTGGACAGAGAATGATCCAGAGGAAAAAAGACTAGAAACAGGGCATTAAAAAGCAATCCAGGCAATGCTTGATTAGGGGCACAACCAAGGCAGTGGTCCTGGTGGTAGAAAGAGGAGGTAACATGTGTGAGACTCAGCAGAGGTGGGAAGAAAAGGGACCAGCTGCTCCTAGTCAGGAGATTAAGGAGCAGGATAAATCAGGATGTCTCCCAGGGACATGGCTTTCAAGAGGAATGCCGCCCCAGTGACCACAGGTAGACCTAGAGGAGATGAAGATAAACTTGGTTTGGAACAAAGTAAGTGAGAGGTGGTTGACTGACCTGTCACCTTCACCCGACAGAAGCTCAGGGGGCGTCTGGGCTCTAGAACCCATCATTTGAGAGGCAAAAAGCTAGAGACATGAACGTAAGTTGCGAGGCAGCCTCTGTGGCTGGATAAAAGTATATTGCAATCATGACAAAGTCCTATAAATTGTCCCAGCCACGGGGAGCCTAACGAGACATGACAACTAAATGTCATGTGGGTTCCTGGAACATAAAAAGGACATTCGGTAAAAACCAAGGAAATGTGAATAAAGACTGGGCTTTAGCTTAGTCACGTGTCACTATGGATTCACCAAGTGTGGTGGGTGTGTCATCCTAGTGTGAGACGTTTGTAACAAGGGGAGATGGATATGGAGGAGTTCAGGGTCCTAACTGCGCAACTCTCCCGCAAATCTCAGACCCCTCGAAAATAACAAGTGTATTTTTTAAAAGAGCATTAGGCTCATTAAGAATCATATTATGTTCCTAAACCAGAGAAACCTAACTCGGGCATATTTCCTGGGATGAGCGGAGAAGGCTTTCTGTTCTCCTGTGACTGCAGAGTGCTGTTCCCTTGGAGATCTCCCCCAAAGTGCCTTGCCTGTAAGAGCACATTCCCCCCCACCCCCGCCCGTGCCTCTTTATGGAATGACTCACGCTGTGAATCATCTCGAACAATGTGCGCCTCCCTGAGTTTACCCCACCTTAAGGGCATATCAAGGTGGCGTTAATAACACTTCACATCCTAATCCTTCTCCACTTAGCAGCGCAAAAGGGTGTGCATCTCCTGTCCATTTCCGTTAGAAGACATGATGCATTTCAAAACATGGGAATAATCTTATTTTTTACTCTGGACCTAGGTTATGATCGACATTTGGAGTGGGACGTTTCTTCACTGCGTGTGACATATCGCTTCCCTGGCCCCAGGCAGTGGGACAACCAAAAACCACTCCCGTTACATTTCCAAACATACCCACTGGGGTCCCCACCCTCCCCAGCCCCTCAAGGATTAGTGAGGTAAACCATAAAGAAGGCAGTAGTCTTAAATGCGGAGGGGAGCAATGCGAAGTGTTACAGGGAGGAGAAAACAGACTCTCTAAAAGGAAGTTAACCAGTGACACACGTGATAAATTTGTAGCTCACTAAACACACACACGCACACACACACAAGTACAAGTAAAACTAGGGAAATCGGAAGCAGATGGGCAGACCGTACTAGGTCCATATCCTTTGGGATAGCATGCATTAGTTGTGCAAGATGTTACCCTTGAGGAAAACACAGGATCTCTTTGTATTGTTCCTTACAATTGCATGTGAATCTACAATTATCTCCATAACATTTCGATTTAAAAAAAAAAAAAGAACTTAAGGGCCGCCATCACTGAGTCAGAAGTGCTAACCTCCCTGCTCCAAGACCCCAAAGTCTCAGAACCAGAGGGGGAGCAAAGGGCTGACAACAGACTCAGGGAAACCAGAGTTCAGGTCTTGACTCTGACCCTCCTAGCTGTGTGACCTCCAGGAAGTTATGTAAGGTCTCTGTACTGTACTTTCCTCATCAAACAAATGGCTGTGACAGGCCCCACTTACGAGCATGGCTCTCATGAGGAGATGTAAGAGTAAAGTGCCTTCAGCACAAGGCAGGTGCTTGATAATAAGTAGGAGGGATTCCTCCTCTCCAATCCTCCGGTTGCTGGTTGCCGAACTTTGTCCCACGTTCCCAGCCACCACTCCCTCCGCATAGCACTCTCAATTCCTTTGTGCCCCGTTTATTCCAGTGCACCCACCCAGGAACTCCCGGGGCCACACATCTGACCTGCGCACGAACACCCAGCCTCCTGACAACATGCCAGTAGAGACTCAAGCAAGAGCAGGCCCAGCCCAAGCAAGGTTCCATATCCCATTCGGAGCAGCTGGCTGCTGGCTTCCTGCTCCCACCCCCACATCCTCTCCAGGCTGACCAGCTGCAAGCTATATTCTAGCCAGCACCTGGAAGTCTGTGTGTGGGGCATTTTGGTCCCAAAATAACCTGGAGGGCAAGGGCCATTAGGACCTCTGGTGTGCCAGATTGGCCTTCCAGCTCTTTCTCTCCAGCTCTAATCCACACAGTTCCAAAGGTCAAGCCCATTAACATCCACCCTGACTTAGGATGTCCTGGGGTCAAGCAATGCAGGAACCAACAGGCTGGTCCTCTCACCAGGCACTGCCGGGTGGACTCCCTCAGTGCCCGGCTTGCCCAGGATCTCAGGTGGGAGCCAACCACAACTGGCCTGTGGGCTTGGGCAGAAACAGAGGAAGGGCTTCATCCCCAGAGCAGCCTGCCGCCCTGATCATTCCTGAGGCTCCTGAGAGGGGGCATGGGCTGGAGTGGCGCTGCTCCCTTGGAATCGGAGAGAACACCAAGGAGAAATTATGTCTGACCCTGCAAGCCCACAGGCCAAAGGCCCAGTCTTCTGCCTATATTATTATTATTATTATTATTATTATTATTATTATTATTATTATTTCTCCAGAAATGAATCCTCATCCCTGTCAATATCAGAATGCCTCAAACTCCACACCTTGTTTCGTGTGTGCGGGATCATGTCCAACATTGCCAAGTGGAGCCTCTGGCCTAAATCCCAGTCCCCAAGACACAAGCCAGTCTGGAATCCTGCCGAACCACCCCAGGTATGGGAGCCTTCATGTGCGTGGACATGGACATGCATGGGGCTGTCCTGCTCTCTCTGCCCATGCTCCTGGTCCCGGAGACCTGACCCCAAGTGTCCACCCTACCCGTGTCCCCTCTCATTTACCCTCCTACCTTCTGTGAGGGGGTTGACCTGTGCAGAACTCTGCAAAGCCCTTTGTTCCTCCTCCCCTGAAGCATGGCCCAGAGCCTACCAGAGGAAGCGTACCAGAGCTTCCCCTGACCCCTCTGTGGCCTTTGGTCTCAGCTCCCAAGACTGGCGAGTACCGCAGGCCAGGAAGGGGATTCTGAAGGACACGGCCCTGGTGCCATCTCCCCTTCAGCTGCACCTTCCTGCCTGACACAGAGCTGCCTTGCCCCCTCACACATACATACCCAGTCTCTGTGAAGACCCTCAAACCAAGAAGCCTCCTCTTCCAGGACAAACCATTCCTGGGGCCAGGTGCTGCCCTCACTGGCCACAGGGCACTGATCTACCTGACCAAAGGTGGGCCAGCCGGGTGGGACCCTGAGCTCCTGGGCAGCCTGGGGAGCTTCTGATCCCTGCCCACCTCAATCATGGCTACTCAAATTTTTCCTTTAATTCTGTTCTCTGAGCCCCTCCAAGGTCCTCCCAGGGCACTCCCTGTTTCCCCTTAAACTAGTCAAATCTCATTGCATGGCTTGCTTTTCAGAAGCAACTTAACCAGCATCCCAGAGCTCAAACAGGGACTTGGACCAAAAGTTAAATTAGTAATGAAGAGTGTTTTGGTCACATTTGTCCTTTGCCCTGTTCATCTCAGGAGGCTCCTGGAGGGCTGTGGAGCTAAGATTGGCTATGTCATTAGAAACACTGCCTCCCCCCTGCCACCATATGTTTCCAGGGAAGCAATTTACCCCAGGACCCCTGGAGAAAGCCCTGGGTGCTCCAGGCTCCACCGGTGAGCACACCAAACCTGGGGCACGTTCCCGCCTCCACGAGCCTGCCCAGAGCCGGTCTGGCTCCCTTTCTAGACGCTGCCCTCCCCCACCTGAGGCACAGGACCCTGACAGCTGCAGCTTCCTTGTCAGTGACATCACTCAGCCCCCTCAACAAGCCGGCCTGAATCAGATCGCAGCAGAACAAACTTTATTTCTGTGGAGAAGACTCACACTTTGGTATTTAGCATAACTAAAGGGCTAACTGTGGAGCATGGCTCATCCAGGCTGTGAACTACCCCAATTTCCAGCATCTTCTTCACTCTTCCCCGGCCTCCTGGTCTTTCTTCCCTTCCTCGGTGTCTCCTGAGTCTTTCAGATTTTGGCGAGCAAACTCCTCGAAAACCAAATTTTCATCCTGGAAACTGAAACAGAGCGGAGAACGTTTGGATCGTGGCATGCTCTCCGCAGCTCGTGGTGAAATTACAAGCAAGGCAAGATGGGTGGTCTTCCTTTTGCGACTGAGGAACCGACCAACATCTTCCTGCAGGATGGAGCCTGGGACCAAGCCGTACTGCTCACAGCTTTTCATGTCAAATCTCTTTAACAAACACAAAGAAGAGAAAATGAAGGAACCCACAGAGCAGACACACATGCCCAGTATAACCAAGTGTGTGTATGTGTGCACACATGTGTGTGCACATGCAGGTGTGTGTGTGTGTGCGTGCGAGTGTGTGCACAAGCCATAGTACTAGGCAGCAGAAGGAAGACTCTGAGGTGTTCAGAGCATGCGGTATATACAGAAAGACCCCAAAGGGGGTCTGTGCCCGAGGAGGAAGTCAGAGAACCCGGAGAAGCTCAGGGCAGTGACTCACCTTCCCTTTGCTGTAATTGTAAGCATGGTAAAGGAGAGAGAGAGAGAATTATCAGCATAAATTCTTTTTTTTTTTTTTTTTTTTTTTTGAGAGAGAGAACAGGAATGTGAGTCAGGGGAGGGGCAGAGGGAGGGAGAGCATCTCAAGTAGGCATGGAGCCCGAAAAGGAGCTCTGCCTCATGACCCTGAGATCATGACCTGAGCCGAAATCAAGAGTCAGACACCCAATAGACTGAACCACCCCGCTGCCCTCTCGGCATAAATTCTGTGTGATAGCTGCACCTGGAACATTTCTTATTCTGGTGACTTTATAGCTGAAGGGGAAAGAAGCCTAGGTATGTGCATTTCACAACAACTGCATGTGCTCCCTGCCTCTTTTCCTTTTCCAGCTGCCAGAGCCTTTCTTGCTGCACATCTGAACCCTGGGATCCTCTGCAGAACACCTTGCCCTCACCTCCCCCAACCAGAACAAGGCATACCCTCACCTCTGGGATGCCTTCTCTTTCCAAAGTGTTTCTCCCTTTGGATTTTATTTAGGTGCAGTTGCGACCCACCCTCCAAGACCAGCTCACAGCTTCAGGTCCGGCTTGCAAGGGGCGAGTCCCGGGACTGGATGTCTAACCATGGCTGGGGGTGGGGGTGCACTCAAGCTGGGGAACCACTCCCAGGCTCCTCAGGGTTTGGTTTCTCTGCTAACACATTGATCATTGTGTTGTTGTTGTCGGTTTATATTTTCCGATATGTTTTACAGCCCCGGATTAACTGCTATTCATCTGAGTGGTTCTTTGCTGTTGTTCATTTGTTCCTTTAGCTTTCTGCCCACCTAGTAGAGTCCCATAACCCTCAGTGGGGCGCCAGCAAGAGCTGAGTGAAAATCGCTCCAGAGGGTTTTTCAGGAGCACCAGAGTGACGGAGAGGCTCTCGTCTCTCAGGCACTGGGAGGGAGGTGGCTGTGTGGGCTGCTAGCCACAGGAGAGCAACGGAGGGGCCCCGGGGCAGGAACCATCCTGGGCTCCCACATGCTGGCATAATTACACTACCTGGGACCATCAGCCAGAAAGAGAATCAAATCAGCACCTGCATTCATTCCATTGTGGATGCTCTTGACGGCGGATAATAAAAACTTAGTAGCATTTCTTTAGTGCCTATTAGGTATAAATGACTTGGTCCCAGGCCCTGGCAGAGTTTGTTAGCTACAACTTAATGCCATTTCTGCTTAGCCTACCTGTCTGGACTCAGAGCCTGGAACTAGGCAGGGAAGTTGTGAGCACTGCTGTGAATGGAAGTCTTGTGACTCAAATCTCAGGAATTCAGAACTTCAAGACCATGGGGGTGATCTGTCCTTTCTCCCTGAGATCTCCCAGAACACAAGATCATCATTTAGTCTTGACATGGTGGTGTGTTCAATGAAAGGGCCATGATGATGGACCATGAAAATGTCATACCCAGAAAAGGAAGAGCCCCACTTCTGCGAAGTTTGTTCACAGCTCCAGAAAACAATCTGGCATAAACGATGGCATTGCCTCAGGTCATGGTTTTAAAATATTCTTTTAAAATGTCCTTGAAAGGGACCAGAATGCATCTCAATCCCACATAGTTAAAAAATAGTATCTGGGGGCGCCTGGGTGGCTCAGTGGGTTAAAGCCTCTGCCTTTGGCTCGGGTCCTGATCCCAGAATCCTGGGATCGAGCCCCATGCTGGGCTCTCTGCTCAGCGGGGAGCCTGCTTCCTCCTCTCTCTCTGCCTGCCTCTCTGCCTGCTTGTGATCTCTGTCAAATAAAATAAAAAAAAATTATAAAAAAAAATAGTATCTGAATGATACCACCAGATACAAATAAGAAAAAAATGTGGCCAGATTACTTTTTCCCCAAAGTACGTTTGACTATTTGAATCCAAAATATTTGGAAAAATACTTTGAGACAAACACAAAATGAATAGGGGGACTCATTCTATTGTTTAAAGGGCATTTCATAGGGCACCTGGGTGGCTCAGTTGGTTAAGCATCTGCTTTTGGTTCAGGTCATGATCCCCGGATCCTCAGATAGAGCCATGCATCGGGCTCCCTGCTCAGTGGGGAGTCTGCTTCTTCCTTACCCTCTGCCCTTCCTCCCTGCCTATGTTCTCTCTCTCAAACAAACAAACAAACAAATCTTAAAGGTCGTTTAATGATCAAGATACAAAAAGCTATAAAGTATAAGAAAAATAAATCTTGCTTGCTTATACCACTTTTTTTTCTTAAATAATCCCTGTGCCCAACATGGGGTTCAAACTCAGATCAAGAGTCTTATGCTCTTCCCACTGAACCAGCCAGGTGCCATGTTTATAGCACCTTTACTAGAAATATTCTTTGTTACTATAACTATAGAGGGTTCACAATCCAAAGGAACCAAATCTTCAGGAACCCGGCCTGACCCTTTCCTCTAGTATTTTCTGTATTCTCATCACAATCGCTACTGTCAAAAATACTCATCTTATGAATGCCTGTTAATGCTTCCAAATGAAATCCAAAAGCCTCAGCCTCTCAGATGTATTTTGCACCTAAACTTTCTTTAAATCTCAATCCAGTCCTATTCCCACCAGAGCTTCTGCTTGTAAATCATCCCCGATAAAACCCAACAAGAGAGTCCATGTCCAAGAGCAGTGATGCTCTGTCATCCACGGGCTGAATGAAGGTGGACAAGCCATGGCTCGTGGCCTGTGGCTCGTGGCTGAGGAGATGAACACTCGTCTATGGGCTGGCCTGGGGCATCATGAGGATGACAAGCCATGACCTGGCGATGCCACTGGGGCCATGGTTAGGAACGACCAGCCATGAATAAATAAGAAATCTGCAAGCAGTAAATGACTTGAGAAAGCCAAGACAATGCGTGACTGACCTGGGTCCTCGGGCTGGGGATGCATGAGGCGGAAAGGCACCTCAGTGGCCACTTCACTGGAAAAAAGAGAACGCAGATGGGTGAGAAGACACAAGGGATTATAAAACACACAGAACAGAGCAGTGGCTGCAGAGATTCCCAGCTGGAAGAGGATTCAGTGAGATTCAAAACAAAACAAACCAGAAATCAGGAAGTGGTCATGGAGGAATTTTAAATGTATTCCCTGGAATGTGGTCCAGAAACTTCACTGAGGCATGGCGGAGACTGCTGGGTTTTGTAGGCTCATTCCCCTTCCTTCTGGTTATTAGGTCCAGTGATGAGCTCTGGTGGGTAGAGGAGAGGTGAAATCCTGGCGAAGGGACAGTTTTGGGGAAAAAAAAAAAAAAGACCTTGCCAAAATGGACGTGACTTTTTATGTGTTCACTCTATGTCAACAGTCACATAGTTGCTTGCTAGAGAGCAGAAGAGAAATGAGCAGCACCCGCCACTCCAAATTCCAGAAGCTGAAGGGCTTCAGGGTGACTTGGAATTTATACAAAAAGAAGGAAGGAAAGTAGTCAGGAAGGAGAACAGAAGGCAAATCTGGACCAAGGAAGAACAAAGGAAGGAGTGAAAAAAAGCAAAGGTCTCTCCTTCCTTCACCCACATTATGGCTTTGGTTAAAGCGCACCTGTTTACAGGGCCACTCTGGTCAGACCCCAGTGCAGATGGGGTCTGGGTTCTATGTCAGGGATGGGACAGTAAGAGTCAGGATGACAGAGCCTGAAAGGTCAGTGGCTGCCTTGGACGTGGCTTTGGGCCTGACGCCTTGGGCACGATCTGAAAAAGGGTAGCTGTTAGAATTCACAAGAGCCGAATGGTAGAAACAACCCAAATGCCCACCAGCTGCTGAACAGAGGACCCACCCACGATCTGTCCACACCGTGGAATATTTCTCAGCCATAAAGAAAGAATGAAGTAGTGACTCAGGCTACAACATGGATGGGCCTCGAAGACTTGGTACTCAGTGAAAGAAGCCAGTCGCCCAAAGACAGATACCATCTGATTCCATTTGTGAAATCACCAGAAGAGGCAAATCCATCATGATAGAAAGATTAGTGGTGGCCCTGGGCGAGGACAAGGGGGGGAATGGCAGAGACCACTTAATAGGTACGGGGTTTCCTTTTGCAGTGGTAAAAATATGAAGGAGCCAGAAAGCGGTGACAGTTGCACAATATTTTAAGTGTCCTTGATGCCACTGCACTGTACATTTTAAAATGGTTCAGATGGTAAGCTTCATACACACAGACACAAAGGCAGCTGCCTGGAGTGGACCAGTTTTCTGAGTGTGTGTGCATGCGTGTGTGTGCGTGTGTGTCCTCGCCCAGGGGAGGCTCAGCTATGGTCTGGAGGAAACACTTCTAGCCTCACATCAATCAGGCAACATTCACAAGATGCCTCCAGAAGGCAGTGGGCCTCATTTCATAACACCTCTGAGCATAACTGTCAGCAAATCAGATTTCACTCTTACTATCTTGAACCCCAGATTGGTTTCCTATGACATCCTGAGAATCAAGGATGAAAGGTGACAAGGCTTACCTGGAGGTGAGTTCTCCCAGAAAGCTAGGAAACAAATGCAAAACAGGGCTGGTGAGTGTCCCAGTGATACCACAACCTTATTTCCCATTATTCAGAGATGGACATGTCCCAGGTACACTCCGCACTCACAGCTTATGGGATCCTTGCAATCCCATAAAATTCAACTTGACTCTTCCCCTCTACTTGTGATGTCATCTCTTTTTCAAGTGGATTAGCTAAAAAGAAGAATCACTTAGGTCTAAGCCCTGAGGTTCAAGAATAAACCACAAAAGTCTTTGTAGAATACCTGTTGTTCACTTATCTTTTTTTTTCTTTTTCAAAGATGTTGTTATTTATTTATTTATTTTTAAAGATTTTATTTATTTATTTGACAGACAGAAATTGCAAGTGGGTAGAGAGGCAGGCAGAGAGAGAGGAAGGGAAGCAGTCTCCCTGCTGAGCAGAGAGCCCGACGTGGGGCTTGATCCCAGGACCCTGGGATCACGACCTGAGCCAAAGGCAGAGGCTTTAACCCACTGAGCCACCCAGGCACCCCATGTTATTCACTTACCTTGACACTAAAAGAAACTCTACCATTTTAGATCCTCTTGGAGAAAATCAAAGGTAATTCTGCTCGCTTTGAAAACCACTACAACTACAAACACTGGGGTAACACAGTTTGTAAAATCAACCCATGCTCTACTTTGTTGTCCCAGCCAAAACTGGGGGGATTCTTTATCGACTTAGAATCATAGAAGATGCAAAAATGGAGATCTACAGAGAATTTGTTTGGCTGCTGCCCTTCTTTCCTGAAGTGAGATGTTGCACCAAATGGATTTCCCTTTTTGCGTATCAACTTCTACCCTGTGAGCGGATGGGCATGCACTTCCGCCAAGTAGAACTAACGTATTTCGTAGTTTGCTCCTTCTACTTTTTTCCACGTGACGTCAGATCAAACACAATCAACAATGAGACAAACAGAATCTCTCCAAAACTCTCCTTGGTCATCCACAGAATTTGTAGATCCTTCCACCTTGCTGGTTCCCAATCATTCAGGAAAGGAAGAGTTCAGAAGGGGAGAGGCCAAGACAGAGCCCACAGCATTGGTTCTTGGACACTCACCCTGACACCGTGAGCTTCACTTTGATATGGTAAGACACCAGGATGCCCAGGACAGTCCGGTCTATGCCCTCCTTTATTCTGCTCAAACAGAAAGGAAAAGTGGAAAATTGCAGAGGAACAGCAGAAAGCAGAGACTGGATAAAAAAAACCCTCACCTCCAGACAAGCCTGTTATAATGGGTGCATCTTCTTACGGAACTGGTGAATTCAACCAAGCTGTCAGTCCTATAACTTTCCATAGTCAGGGAAGGGGATTCCTTTCCTGCATTGGAGTTCAGGATTCCCCCAACCCCACCCCGGAAGTTCAGAGTGCAGAACGTGCTTCCTGGTTCTTCCTACTCTGTCTCCATTGATGTTCACCCACCTGCTTATCAGCCAGAAATGCATCCCCTGCACCCGCCACCTCGTCTTCCTGGGCTCCTTCCTCTGTCCCACCTGCCATCCCTGGCCAACCACTGAGTCCTCCATAGGCTTTTTGTACCTCCATTATCTCAATAACTTACCTCCCATAGGCCCTCTTCCCTGACCTCTCAGCAACTCTGCAGCCAGAGAGCCCCCCAGGGTCAAGCCTCAGCATGGCCTGGCAGGCAGTCTGTGAGCTGGCCTTTGACTGCCTTTGCCACATCACATCCTGCTATGGTCTAGTGTCTCCCGTGCAACAGCCTCACCACACACAAGCCTGCCCTGGAATGCCATCCTCCTCTGTTCTCTAAGACCTCAAGTTGAAGTTGACCCTCCTTTGTGAAACCTTCTTGGCCAGGTCTCCATCCTTCGTGCTCCGGCCCCAGCACCCAGCATCATGTCTAAGTGAATGAACATAGTGCATGAGGCCATCGCCTGTGTCCCCAAAGAAAGTGCCATCTAACTTTCCCCATAGAAACTACATTCCGGGTTCCACTAACAGGTGCTGAGCTCCCTCTGTCCAACAGGCACCGTGCTGGGTGTTCTAACACGTTATTATCTCATACGGCATCCATTGTAGGAGCATTAAGTAGTTCAGGATGCCCAGTCACAGGAGTTAAGGTCTGAAAAACATCATGACACACTTGCTAGAACAATGTGAATGACAACAGACAAACACGGTCAAGAGAGCTGAAGGCTCCAGGCAGAAGGCAGGGCACGATTGTGCTGAGAGGTCTGAGAAGAGTCTGAGAGTGCAGGGCAGGCTCTGGGCCCAACGACCCCAGCCTGGATCCCTCTCATGGGAGGCACCTTGGACATTGCTCCCAGGGCCACGATGCCCTCCAAAGACTCCATCGGCTCCTTAGTGCCTGGAGCTCCTTGGGGAAGGCAAATGCCTTTATTTGGAATCATGGGACATGGTCAGTTGAGAGAGGTGGACATCAATGGGGACAAAAAGAGGATACAAGCCTGAGACCCCACCCCATTGCTAGGCCTGACTGTCTGACTTGTACTGAATGGAGGCAAAGAGCTGGGGGGAGAGAATGTGCTTCATCTCATGCCTGAGAATACACTGTAAGCCTCCCCTCCACCATCTTCCTTGAATAGAAGAGTATCTCCGTACCCCCCACTCGCTCTATCTTTCTCTCTCTCTCTCTCTCTCTCTCTCTCACACACACAC